GTGGGCTACAACAGCTGAGTGCTGAGCTTTGAAATAGTAAGAGTCTATGTTTGTTTTAAAACATGCAAAGCCTTGTAATCAATTTCCATGTAAGAGAATAAAAAACAATCGTCACAAAAGAAAATATGATCAGAATCTCAGTTGATTTCCAGCCAAAGAAAGCACTGACACAAGTCTCTACATTTATATAAAGGCTAACAGGCGCAGCCTCTTGCTATCTGGAACAGCAGAGTGTTTGCAGGCTGCAGACAGGCTGGCTAGCCATTTGTCTTTGTCTACAAATGGAAGGGGCAGCTGTCACCAAAGGTCAGCAAAATGTTACCAGAACAAGGCCCTATAGAGGCTAAGCCCACGTGCCTGCAACAAGGAGGGGGGACACACCCAAGTGGAATGAGACCTACACACTTTCTCCTTCTGCGTAGTCACTCAAATGCAACACACCCACAACAAGGCATCCTGCTGGGATCATTGGGCAAGTCTCCGATGCAGCTGGTGGCCTTTTCAAGTTTACTCTGGGCTGTCCAACCCGAGCAGTGGTGCCTCTTGCTGGCGTGGTTACATCGGGTTACAGTCTTCCCCTCCAGCTCTCCATCAGGGTCAGCTGAAAGATACGTTTGAAGTGGCATCCACCCCGCCCGACCCTCCATTACCCACTTACACCTGCGGCTGTAACACAACCTGGGTAAACTTACACCATCTTTGAGCTTTCGTGCAGGGAAGTTTCCTGCTCGGGGACACGGGTGGATTGATGGATGAGTCGCAGCTTGCACGACAGAGCCAGAAAAGTGCTGACAGACAGATGGACGAGCATGCAAGAGATGGTAACACACACATATACACGCCAAGAATAGCTTTCAAAACTTTCCCGTCTCTGGAGATCAATCCTCAAGCCTGAATTTTCTTTGACAACTGTTATTCCCATCTAATCAACTATATCCTGGGGAAATCAAGCAGAAAATAAAAAAGGCTGAAAAGCAGCAGAGGGACAGCAGGGGAAAAACATAAGAGGTCCCCCCCCCACCCCCCCTTCATCTTTGGCAAAACAAGACAGCATGAACCAATAAGAAAATGTGTTTTATGTTCTATATTTTTGTTGGAAGCTGATGGTTTTTCTAAAATATAACCTTCTCTCTCACTATGTCCTGTTTTTCTCCAAAAAGAAAGCTTGCACTGCAGTTAAAGAAAAAAATGCTTTAAAACAAGGATAGTAGAATGACACAGTACCTTCAAACATGGTTTAAAATTTAATCCACGACTGGTGTTTTTTTTTGTTTTTATTTTTTTATTACTGCTTTTTGGAAGCAGGTTTACCATCTCATAGTACAACATGAAAGTTTGCATTAATTTTCTCTTGACACAAGCCTTTGTACTAGAACACCTCCTTTTGTTTTTAGTTATGATTTTGACATGAATAATGACACTGAATTAAGCAGGATGTGCATGTTTTTTGCTGCAGCTATATAAAAAGAAATGTGGCTGGCCACCCAAAAAATCCAAAACAACAGAACAAATATCTTTTGGGCCTTCCATTTTACATAACCAGCTGATAATTAAGTTCTCCAGAAGCACATTCATAACAGGAAACAGAGCCTCAGTTGAAGTGCCCAAAGGAATATGCTGGGTTTTCCAGATGTGTTTTGAACATCATTCATTTCAGGACTGCTTTTGTGTCACTGACATGACAAGGGAGTGAAATTTGACTCTGGTCTGCTGCCAAAAATCCCCATCCTTAAAGGCATGTGCCTGACAGCGAGAAACCAGAAGTCCAGTAGTTATTTTCAACTCATTGACTGCACTGTAAGCAAACGGCCTGCATTGTTGCTGCACTGTCTCAATGCCTGGAATAATAGTACTTCCAGTCTAGTGCTTTGTGGATGCAAATCAGGCGTGCCTTAAGGACACAAACGGTCTATTATAAAGCCACTGTGGGGAATAAAGACTGTCGGGGGGCTGCTTTAGTGGCTCATTTTGGAAAAGAAAAATGCTGCTTGTTTTTGTTGTGTGTTCAGAAAAAAATGAAGGGAAAAAAGCTGTCCTCAATTGGCTTTGGTAATATAAATAACATGCTTTTTTTTAAAAAAAAAAAAGAAAAAGGCATACGTCTGCCAGCCAGCCTCTGCCAATGACCTTTGAACCTTCCCAGTCAACGCCGGTTCATTATCTTTGCACTATTAGCATCTGGCTGCAAGCTAATTGTAAGAGTAAAAATTTAAAGCCATGCGTGCGAAAAGGCTTGTTATGAAGCTAAATTAGTGTAAGCACAACATGTGTCTGAGCTTTAACTTTTCCCACAGACTTCAACTAAGACTCCACGAACAGTGCTAGTTTTTTTCCCCTCACCCCCCACCAAGGTGTCCACTAGCTAAGGTGGATGCTAGCATAAAACTGGCGATAGCCACTGGTCAAACTGGCTGCATGTTTTATCCAATCTGCTGCCGGCGGCGTCACCCAACAAAGGGAATTAAAGCTGTTCCCATGAGCTGCAGTGGGGAGGCAGGCGACAATAGGCTGAAACCAGCAACAATAACACACCTCCCCCCCTCATTTTACCTGGTTTTAGGGATATAAACTATCGTATTTCATTAGGGAAAAAAATAAGATAAAAACATTAGCGCGACAATACCATCGGCCATTGTAGCCTCCTCCCCGCTAAACAGGGTGGAGACTAGCCACACATCTTTCTGTTCAGCTGAAGGCAGAGGATGAAAATGAGGCTGGAAATACCTGTAGACGTCCACGACAGAGGCGCAGGGTTCAGCTTTGGCAACAAAACATCACACCAGTAACGGGCTCGTGTTCAGCTGGCACTCCCATTTAAAAAAAAAAAAAATGCGGCTCTTTTCCCAGTCGGCGCAAACGCCGCACACCCTTCCTCCCCAAGAAAAGCAGCGTTCAATGGCCGCATAAAGGGGGGGCACACAAACATCCCCCCTCCCATTCAAACAAACGCCCTACCACAACAAACACTTTAACAAACAGCTAACGACGCATTCACAAGTGAATGTCTTCTTTCCCAATATCTAGCGGTTCAGCTTTTAAAGAAGTGTGTCCGTTCCCTTTCCCCGAGGATACAGTCAAGGATGGGCTGGAAACATTAACTGACATTTAGGTTTTTTTATTCCCACCATGGTTGACATTTTCTCTGTATAAGTTAATAAGTTAGAAGTGAAGGAAGGGGAGGGGGATATAATTTTAAAATGCCAGAGTAGTGAGGTGGGAAAAAAAATCCACTTACAGTGAAACAGGATTCACAAAGAGGCTCCTCTCCTCTCCTCTGGTCTGCGCTCCAATGGGAGTAAACGTCCACAGCGAGAGGGGAAACTCCTGATATGTGTATTTATCTATTTTTAAATAAAATCTATTTAAATTCTGCCCATTATCCTCATCTTTTTTCCCATGCGTTGACCTCGTCTACACGAACACACAGAGTCCACTACTCTATCCCCTTTTTCCATTCTTCTCAGCCGGAGACACGCTGCGCGTCTCCGTCGTTTCCTGTCCAGCCCAGGATCCAGCGTTGCCTTCAGGATCTGCCGGGAATATTGTGGATTAGAGATGACGAAGAATGGCATAGCTAAAAGGCAGATGAAAGGAGAAACGATCAACTCCCCTGTTTGGGCAATAAGCATGGTTTTATGCTTAATTCGTCAATGTAAAGTTATCATTTGCCCCTAAATTAAAAATAAATAACTAAAAATGACAGCCTATACAGTTTTGCTTTTCCAGGGTCGGTCACTAAAGTATTATTATTTACAGATTGTAAAGGCAACATCAGCATTCAAGAGCTATTAAATAATAATAATAATAATAATAATAATAATAATAATAATAATAATAATAATAATAATAATAATAAAAATAAAATAATTACGCTTTTCAGTGCGTCTGAAGAGAAATTCAGGTGAAACATCTAAAAGTCTGAGGCGGCCACAATGCACCGATTTAATTGTACCCACCTAAAGCCGCCACGACCACCACCATCAGACATAGGGGGCATGTTCCAGATTAGGGGATTATTTTTATCCATTTGGATGTATTAGATTCCCAATCCGTCCACCCTTCCAGCCTCTCAGGCATCTTTTGAGCTAAAATTCCTGATTTATGTGAATATTGTCCCATGTGAATGTGTCAGCAAACAAAATAAATAGTTACCATTGTGCCATTGACGCCTATTAATGCCTAGAAGCTATGCTTATCTGCATATACAAAAAGAAAAGCAACTTAATAACCATTTCCCATAACCTGTTACGCTGGAAGAAGATTGGGGTCGGATTTAAATGTTATGTGGCCATCTAGTGGACAAGAGAATACATTGCACCTAAATTACAGCTTCTGTGGATGTGTGGCTTTTTAAAAATTTTAATCTCAGGTTTTGGTAATCCCTCTTGGGAAACAGTTACAATGTACTGACAAGAAACCTGTATGGCACAGCACATTCACACGTTTTTTTCCCTCCTTAAAACAGTAACTGTGTCACTGACTGTGCCATACACCAACTGTGACTCATACAGTGTACAGACTTCTCCTAAGTGCCTTTTTCTCTGCCAGTCAGCCTTTCCTGTAATCACACTTTGGCTCTCACACGAACCACTTCAGTACCTGCCAGTGCATTTTAATTTTTAAAAAAAATCCTGTTCAGTAAATTTTCTCAGGTGAAACAAGGTCATCGCACTATTGAACGCCCCACCTTCACAAGAGGAGCAGCACAAGTCTTATTACCCTACTACAGATCAGATGTTAATGTTAACACCCGTTCCATGTTATTGTTCAAAACACAAAACCTGAGTTTAGCTCGCTCTACACGACCAACAAAACTAAAGTTAAGCACGCTGATGGCATAAAAGGTTACAAACTCTGGGAAACAGCAGAAACTTCAGTGGAGGAGGCGTTTTTTTTTGCCACAGGATGTTTTCTGTCAAGAGAGGGTGTGTATGTGAGCCTCCGTCACTGCTGCACTGTGTGGGAGTGTTTTTAGTCAGAAGCAGAGAGGATAGAAGGCATTGCAGTCAAAAGAACACGTGCGTGATGTTATCGGAGTAACAGATCAGATTTTTTTTCGTGCAGGTTTGCTTGGAGGAGCTCGGAGGTTTTAGGTGATGAGGGGAAGCCTTGGGGGCATCATTCTACTGGAGGCAAATTCCCACCCTTGCTGCAGAAAATGAGGATTTCATGGATGTTCATGTGCCTTCTGGTTTGCAAGTCATCACATGGTACTCAGGATCAAAGTGACTCCAAGAGTGATTGGAGCAGTAAGTGGACTTTATTATGATTACACCATGAGCATTATTATTAATTATTGCAAGTTGATCTGTGCATACGTAGGGACAACAAAACTTCTTGTTTTCATTTGTAAACACTGAGGTTCAAACTCTAATGAGTACTGCAGTAGTACTTGAGTATTTAATGCCTTTAGATTGCTGAACTACATCAGTTGTGTAAGTACGTATCCTGGCTTGAGATTTCAGCAGCTCTCGAGTTTTTGTTTTGTGGTTAAGACACATAAAACACATAGGGGTTAAATTTTAAAACAACACACACATTTATCCGTGTGGCGCCCGAGATCGTCCTTAAATCGACAAATGCCGTAGTTCAGGAAGCGTGTGTTTCAACATATATCCATGCAACAGATACGTCACCAAAACTGTATGTGGTTCATGTGTTACAGTGCTAAATGTGCGTCTGACTCAAGTCTGCCATTTGTATCACACATCTTGTTTTTCATGTGAAATGTGAGTTTGGCCGAAAGAGGTAAATGTGCTGATATCAAACAAATTCCATGCGGGGGAGGAGCTGCTCTGAAATGACTGGTTTCAAAGCCTGAATTTCAGTAAGGGGAATTAAATGCAAATGTCTGAATCTTTGCAGGAGCTCTGGCTCTATGAAGCCGTTTCCTCTGCCAAGCGTTTGGTGCTGGTTACTGGCGGTACTTTTCCGAGCCTTAGATCAAGTTAACTTAAGCAAACAAAGGATTTTTTTTAAAAAGTATAACATGCCACGTGTAACAGGTATTTATGATCACACAAATTCTCACAATTCTCTCTCCAGGATTGACGCTTCATGACTCTGCAAATGACAACGTGACTGTAACGTGCCCGTTGATACTGTCCGAGGATGCAGAAATTTCGTTTTACCTTCTGAAAGATAAAGACATAATATACGACCATACGTGCAAACATCAAAGGAATTGCACTGGGATGAAGTGGGATGCTGTGGAACTGCACACAAATGGATCACATTGGTTTTTCACAGTCAAATTAGAACACAATATCAGAGGACTGTACAGATGCAACATCACAAAGACGTACCCTCCTCCTCTTACAAAAGAAGATGGCAATCCTGTGCTTGTAATAGGTAAAAGAGTCCTAAAGAAGGTTTTAAACAGTCTGTAATTCACAGTGCAGTACACTAAACACTTCCTGAATATGCTTCTTGCAGAATTCCCTCACCAGTGCCCGACACCCCCACTCAATTCCACAGGAGTCGCACCAAACACATGCCAAGAATTTCCATGGATTTGGATAGTGGTGATTGCAGTTGTCAGTATCTACGGTGTAACAGTCACCATCATTGCACTGTTTAACTGGGTAAGATATCCTTGATCCACAAGGAAGAGAAAAAATAGAGCTCAAAACAGTCGTTTGTAGCAAATTATCTTAATTTTTACTGAAGCCTGGCCAATACTGCAAGTTTATGAGTGAAAATGTACTTTCTTTACATGTAAATATACACGACAGCAACGCCAAAACAAGGACACTTTGAGGTTTACTAGTCTGCTACGCACAAACACTGACGACCCATTTGAATCTGCTCCGATGCTACTCTGCTACATGTGCTGCAGGTGTTGCAGTGGATGAACTGTCATGTAACACTATTTCTGAATGACTATTTCATAAGTGTTTGTTTTAAAGAGACAAAAACAAGTAGATTTTTTTGTGTCAGAGAAAAAAAAAAATACATTGATTTTGATGTATCTGCAACGGCAGATCCATGTGTGTTATATTCACCTAACACACAAAAGACTGGGAGGAGAAACAAATCCCTCGGTATTTGGGTCAGGAAAAGATATCAATCATAAAATTCTGCCAAATCAAATACGCGGAGCTTTTCACTGTGGCAACGCCTTGTTAGAGCCGATACGGTGTGCTAACCTTGGCATATTTATTTAATGTTCAACATTTATCGTCTTTTATCAACTGCAAGAGAAACATTTTGTTGTATTCTTGTTAGTTTTACACATTTCTATCCAGCCAATAGACAAATCCTAAGCCTTTTGTACATTTTAGAATTGACTATTTTTTGTCAGATTTTAGGAAAAAAGGCACAACCCTCCCCACCCCTGCATAGTATGAAGAAGATTTATTTTTGTTTTTCGTTTAAAACGTTCAAATTGAAGGTGTTCTCCATTAACATTAACATTCGTTTCCCCTTTCCGTCTCTGAGACAGTTGCTCATCTCTCTTTCCATCTCTTGCAGCTCAAGTTGAAGAACACAGAAAACCAGAGTGACTACATGAACACAAAACCCAGAGCGCCCAGGGACCGCAAGAAGAAAAAAGGTCTTCAGAATATACAAAGACACTTCTAATGACTTCATCGGATCATTTTGCACAGCTTTAGTTTAGACCTAAACAATCAGGCTGTCCTCACTGTAGCTTATTTTTGTCAAACACATAATTGTGAGGTTTGTTTTTTGTGTTTTCATATTTCATTGTCAACACTGTAGTAAATCTGTACCTACACAGCAAAAGTAGCATTTTTCTTTAAAGCAATGGCTGTATTAAAACTAAAAAAACAACAACACACACACCCTGGGTTTCTGGTTTTGCTCACTTCCTGTTTCAGTTACCAAGTCTGCCTGTCTCGCTTTTTCTCACACACACATACATGTAATTGGGAACCCCTATCTTTGTGGTCGAAACAGAAGGTGGTGTCTGATTGAGGGGACTTAACCACATTTGAAGCATAAATCAATGTGCTATAGTACGGACGCTCAATCTGTTAAAGAGAACTCACAAAACCGCAGCATCAAGAATCTAAATGTCATGCGAGCTGTTATTAAAGTGTTTGACTTCTCTTTCACTTCAGCGAGCTCTTACTTTTACATCTCTCTCAAAGAGCTGATATCGCCGGGGCTGATGAAAGCCCGATACTTGAAACAATAACAACGTGCACAATTTCCTGCCTTCCTCGCTCTTAGTTTTTCCTTTCTTTTTTACCCGTCGTGCACTCTGCAGATGTAGCAGCTTCAAAGGGACGCCACCTTTACCTTGCTCACCTTGCACTTTCTGTGCAGTCACTGCAGGCGCTCGCACCGGGTTTCACTGGTTTTATTCAGTAGCAGGGCTTACTCAACAGCTACCGCAAGCATGAGCGAGATAGACATAGTTTCTGTTAGGCCTTGAAACAATTTTTAGGGCTTTAAGCAATGATTAAAAACGAATGCTGACTATAAAAGATTTTTTTTTACCTCCCACACACTCAATTCTTCTATGAAGAAGGGCACCCTTTAAAAAAAAAAAAAAAAACTGGAGGCGTAAGCACAGAAAAGTTCAGGTTTTCAGTAAAAACTTATCTGAAATCAGCAAAGTTACTTTCATGCAACCAGAGAATCACTTTTAACTCTTTTCAGCATCTTTTTAATTAAAAAAAATACAAAATGATGTCCTACTATGTGCGCACAGATGAAACAATCTACTAATGGAAACAAAAGAGTTTTACTCTTAATTTTGAACGGCTGTTCAAAGTGTGTATTTGCTCTTCACGTGTCCCTCATCTTTCTTTAGCTAAATGCATCCAAAGCTAAACAGTCATTTTAAAAACTTTCATATATTTTCTCCTTCTTAAATACTAGAACAAAACCTGTCTGTCATCATGATGATTAGCCTCTTTCCTTCCATTTAACGCTGACATCTGGCTCTAAGATCGCAGGTGCTCCTTTTCATCAGGCTGCGTTTCGGGTCTGTGGTGTTGTGGAAAAATCCGTTCCCTGAGGAAATCTATCCTCGCTTCCTCGGATACAGACTGCAGGTCCTGCTCCGTTACCTGGAAAATAGGATTAGGATCATGTAAATCATCCACTCCGATACTTCTTCCATTACTTGCACTACAATCGAGAGAGAATAACCTACCATTAAAATCTACAGGGAGCAAATCTGAAGACATAATATTTGAGTTTCTCTTCTTAATTTTAGTAGTTTAAACATATGTTACAAGTATAGGAAATAAGAGACCTGAATTCTAATAAACAGGTAATGCAGTGCAGCCATACATTAGCAATGTTCTGCTTTTTAAACCAAATCTAATGGATACGTTAGATTTGGATATGTAAACACAGGCATTAGTCATGAGCTGCAAAAAGGTTTAGAAGTGAAATAAGCAGAGATTGTGCAAAAATGTGAGTGCGACATTATTTTCTGAAGGTGCCAAAGTCTCACCAGGACAGAGTTATATCCCAGGATCTTCAGATGGCGAATCTTCACAGCGAGCGGACCACGGGGATTGGACGTGCCGTAACAAAAACCAGATTGCGGTGCATACATTACTGCAATTCTGGGAAATAAAGAGAATGATTTGTCAGCTTTACCAAAAAGAAAAAAAAAGGTCAAAATTTGAATAAAATCACTGGGAGACAAAAATCTGAAAACTGACAGATGGAGAAGATTATGGGTTTATTGTCACTGATGAAAATCAATGTGTTCTTTCTGACTTTATCTGCTTTACTCAGCATGAATCTGATATTAGGATTTTACTTTTCATTGATGTTGACATCTATTCTTTCCTTTAATTACTTTACTGACTAAATAAACCATCTGTAAAGTCCAGACAAAAAAATTTCAACGAAGCAGAATTTAAAAGAGCTGATTCAGTTTTAATCAATAGTTTGACTCAGTTCCAATAAATGAACGCGCCTGTGCTGTATGGAAATAAATAACAGATGGATAGTTCTGATTACGCTCTGATACTTTCAGTAACATCGATTATGTCAGCAGAAACAGATAACACATAACCTTTACATTGTACCAAAAAACCTGTATGCATTTTTTAGACTTCTACCTGTAAAACCCCCTCATTATATACATTTTTATGTTTATTTCTATTCATTTATTTACTTTTGGACAATATTGAGGTTGTTTATTTTTAGCTGTGCTGTTTTACTGGAAGTAGTTTTGGCTGCTGCAGCACAGTGGGAAAAAATTATAAAAAACTTATTTTGCACATTATTTTACTATAATATGAAGAATATAAAGTATAGCTCAGGAACCCCCCCCC